GTGAAGCACATGTAGAAATAACATTTCATTAGTTAAAAGTTTCTCTCCGTCTCTGCACATTAAGATTTTTCTCACTAATAGTAAAATCTGTCTGGAACAGGAAGAACAAGTAGGTAAGTCAACAATTCCATCTTTTGTTCACATGCCATGAACTGTTTATGTGTGACTTGTGGAGACTGGATCAGAAATTAAGAATATCAAGCACATGTAGTATGCTCACTATTTCCTAAGGAATTCTAGTTTTCCCAAAAGTTAAGCAGTAAAGTTTTTGATAGGTAAAGATTAGCTGTTGAATTTGTGTTGTGGTAACTGCTATACTTTGAATTGTCTGTGCAGTTTTTGCTATGCAACATTTCAGCAGCCTGAAAGCAAATATGCTTCTTCCTAGGAGGGAACAGTGTAAATGGTGGGCTCTCAGGGGAAGAAGTATTCTTGCATCTCTGTCTTGCAGGTGATTGAAGACACTTAGGAAGTCAGTTGACAAGCTAATTGGCTATGAATAAGAGCAGCAGTAGCTAGAAAAGACTACAACATGGATTCTTGATTTCATAAAATTACATAAACCAAGATATAGAGTGCACCTTAAGAAAGTGCAAGTAGGAACTTCTGTCAAAACACTTGTTTTTTTAAATAACAAAATTGTCATTCACTGACACTGAGCACAGTCCTTTAGAGATAAATGACAAAAGAGTATCTGAGAAATTCTCTCAAGGTTGAAATCAATTCCATCTAATCCGTTGTAAAAGTCATATTGATTTAATTTTATGTGGACACACAAGACATAGAGCAAGCCACATCCTGGAAATAGCGGATTTCTACTATTTCTTCCAAATAGTAAGTTTCTTATAGATAAGCAATATCTAGACCTAAGTCAATATTGAAATACATAGATAAAGAATATTTACACTATTGTTTACAATTTCAATCTGAAAAATTCAAGGTGGTCTTCCTTTAAAATTCTCTTTATAAGATTCAAACAACTGTTAATGTGTGTGGTTTACTCTTTTAAAATAGTAGTAGAGCATTGAAATATTAGGATACATACTCACTTTATATGACCCTGCTACTGTTCATATGCTAGCTGCTCTTTCCTATGGCCTATATCCCTATGGGAACCTTAAATTATGGATGAAACCTGGTGCAGATGAACTGGTGGCACTTCAGAAGTTGAAAAGGTCTAAAAGTAATCAGGAACTATCACACTGTAATGACAAAACTTTACAAAGATAAACTTGGAGCAAGAGTGACATAACATAGTGATGAAGCAATGCAAATCAAAAAAAGTCTGGTTTTGCAAGTATTTTGTGAAATAGTTCAGGGTATATACAGGAAAATAAGCATAGGCCTTATATGTTGTCTGTTGTATAAGTCAGAAAAATACCAGAGACCAATCCCATACCCATCAAAGTCATCAGAGGCTGTTTATAGAACGGGGATCACCCTTCATATTCATCTAATTGTAATTTCTGAAAATAATCCAAAATATCTAATTTAGTACTCCTTGCTTGACTCCTCTCTTTGTAGAAGCATCCAAGAATAAGCAGTGCCAAGAAATTGTGCTTTTTGATCCACGATGAGTTGAAAAATATTTTAAAACATTTAAATAATAAACAATCATAAATCTTTAAAGATTATTTTCTTTGCCCTTAACTAGGTAAAATGTTATAAATCAGCTTTTTCATTTAAAAAAAAAAAAAAAAAAAGAAAACATGAGATTTAGTTTTTACACTATAACAGCTGTGCCCTGGGATGAAGACACCTGTAAATTAAGAGGAGCTTATTCTTAAAATAAAGTCACAGTCCAAATTAGTTTCCTTTTTGTGCCAACTAGTTACCAATCTGCTTATTCTTAAGCACTATGTACACGATAGAAGGGTAAAATGAAATATTTAAGTGGTTTGTTTTTTTTTTTCTGTTGTGTTTTTTTTTGTCTAAATATAAAGGTGATGTTTTTAAAAAGGTATATTATGGAGAAGCATAACTAAGTTCTGTTTATTTATATCTTAAAATGTACTTCAAAGTTTCGAAAGCCATGGTTTGATGTAAATGGGCACAGTCAATATCAAAGTCAGAAAGGCTAATGTGTTATCAAAGCTCTTTCTGCTTCTTCTCAGTTGTCAGTTATAATCTAACCAAAGTATATCAATTTTCCAGTTCTCTCAGGAAAAAAATAATAAAATATCAAGTGTATACCAACCATTTCTGCAAAAATCACTCTAAGTTAGGTCATTTTTCCTTCATCTGATTTAAGTGGAGAGAAAGGGGACAGACAAAGCAGTAGAAAACAGTAGCACAGGTTCTTCAGACTGCAGATCTGCACCATCAGGGCACACTTAGAGGTCTGCTGTATCTGTTCCCTGTAGCAGCTGTGTATCTCAGTCTTTTTTTGTATTTATTAGCTGAATGACTAGCAATTTGCAGATGAGCAGTTAAGGTCCATATTATCAAAGTTATTTAGATAGCTGACTCCTGGTGAAATCCTTCTTCCAAATCAGAATTCCTCCAGGTCTTTCAGACAAGGCATCAAAGTTCCTATGGAAGCTGAGGCGCTGTATTTGAATAGTAACTTGCAGAGATGATGTCTAAGGAAAAAGACATTGCCAGGTATATCACTCTCCATTTCTTTGAGAGTTTAGAGTAATATTCTCACTTTTTCTATAAATCCAGGACAAGGAATGTCTGTGTTTCTGTCTTTGCATTTTGTAGAGTTTGGGGCTTTTGGTTTGGGTAGCCAAGACAAGAGTAATGAGTCTGCTGAGATAAAAACCTAACTCTACTCAGAGAGGGAGAAAATGGACTAGAACTCATCTTGCAATTACTTTTTCCCCCCTATTTTAAGCCCACATCTTACAGATCAGTACTATTGACAGAACTCTGGATTCACAGAGATCCTGACTGCTATTAAAGTCAATCAGAACAAAAAAAATACATACTTTCAAAAAACTGAATGCCAGTATTGTTTAAAATTGGAGTTTTGTGTTGGTCTTGGTACTATTTTGCACAGGAGTTGCCAAGTCAGTTCTTATAATTTTCAATCCTATTCCCATTAAAGGAGGGAAAAAAAGCAATCACTAATTAACACCAGGTGTATTAGCCATTCTTTTCTCTACAAGTTTTACAATGGTTTTGTTAAATATGAGGTACAAGGAATTTTTCATTGAAACAAACTTCCAGTGTAACACATCTCTCTTTAATGCAAACAACGCTGCATGAGAAAATGTCAGTATTGTGAATGAATTAAACTTTCACATTTTATTCTTCCTTATGCAGTATGCTAGTTTATAGCGGGTTATCCTTTAAAAAAAAGTAACAGTTTGTTCTCAAGGTTTTTGTTTAGTTTGGTTTGGTTTTCCTGTCTTATTCAGTAACTGAGTGTCCAGGCAAGTTATTGCAGTGACTCGGTCCAGGTTCATGAAGACCCTCCTCTCCTTGGTGGCCAGACCTTCCAGCTATCTTCCCGTACTGTCATCCTTCTGTGATATTTTTCAGGGTCGGCTACAGGAGCACTCTGGGAAATGTGGATATGGCTGAGAAAATGGGATAGCAGCCCTGTGAAATAGCTGCTTTCCTAATGTACTTCAGTGGCATGAGTAGAATGAAGTCAAAGATGTTGACTTGAATGTGTTTGTGTTAAAAGCACCTTACTTAAAAGTGCTTAAACATACCTAACTTAAAAGTTAAGGAATGTTTTGTTATAGCAGCCATGTCAAATTAAGGTAAAAACAGATGAAGATTTATTAAAAATCACATGAGTAGCTTGTGGAAGTGAATCCACTGAATAGCAATTCAGAGTCCTGAGATTTGGGTGCATTTTAAAAAATTTAGCATGATTCAAGGCAACGTATGACCTTACAGTGTGTTTGTAGTGCTGGATGATCTTTGCACGCACACTTTTATTACCTCCAATACATACAAAGTAAATAATCTTGCACTGAAGCGTGCTTTAAATTAGCATAGAATTGCCATGTTTTGAAAGTTCACACTCACCTTACCTATAGCAAAGTCAATTGTCAAGTTCATAATTTCTGAAAATTTGACAGAAAATGTTCAGCAGTGAGCTGACAAAGCAACAGCCGTATGTTTCAAGCTCATTGACTTTGTGCTTTACTTCAGGGCCTTGGGGTAGGCTCATAAAACCTTGAGTACCTTTAGTACATTTTTGGATAGTCATGTTCCTTAGAGAACAATACAAAAGAGAAACTGCACTCTTATTAAAAATACAGTGATCTAGCTGACTTCTGGTTTTAGCTTTTAAAAGACACTTTTCTCTCATTATTTCCAAGAAGAAGGAAAATTACATGTCCTTAGGGCTGTTTGTGTTTCACTTGCTTAGATATGTGACTTAGCAAACTAAATTAAAATGCAGCTGATTCCTAACAGTAAATGTTTTAAGTAATGTGTTGAGCAAACTCTCTGAGCTGGATTGCACATTTCCTAATGCAGTAACAAAAACTGTTTTATCCTCTCATGCACTCTGAGTTCATATATAGCTGTAATTACCATTTCAAAACCATTGTTTTCAAGAAATATGGTTTTTAACTTAACATAGATCAAATTATTAACCAGTGAAGTACACTTCCCAACTTGAGACCAAGTCTTTATGGTCTATGTAGACTTGGATGTGACAGGAGAGTCTAGAGGCCAAGATTTCAAACTCCAAAGTTTGCTACTTTCTGAGGTTTCTTTCTCCATTTTGGTAAAATTCAGCAGTGATTCTCATTCCCTTTGTAGAGCATAGGCTTTCACAATACTGTAGCTTATCATCAGCACCTGTCCTGGCAGACACCAAGAATTCTTAGATTTAATTTAGTCCAACAGATCTGTGTAAGTTCTGCCCTCCCATCTTTATCCACTGGCTCTATTTATGTGCCACCAACAGTTAATATCTCACAGCTTTAAAGAAATTAATGGATGAGTATGTGCACTATCACACACCAACTTAAATAGCTTGCTAGATGTAGACAAAGTTGTGAGAGGGGAAATATTGAGCAGCTTGGACCATGGGTAGTGGAATTAAATTCACAGAAAAGAGAGGTAAGAAACAGGGAATGACTATAGAAAACTGTGTTCTCAGACTTGGACATGGTGCTCTATTCCTGGATTGGTTGGTTTTTATATCCTTCCATGGATTTTTTTTCCCCAGTGCATGCAGTAGGTATGCTGATTTTCCTTACTAGTGAACTACATCAATATTAAATGCAGTGTCTTTGTTGCTTGTTCACGTAGAGGAAACCAGCAGAATTTTCAAAAGTACTTTAACTTCCTGTGTTTCTATATGAAACATTCTACATCTAATGTTATAATTCCTTTTCTCAAAATAATACGAGTAAATCTATTCTATAGCTGAATTGAAGACTAATGAATTATATTAACAGCTCTAATCCCCTTCATTTTAATTTCTGAAATGCCAGGTTTTGTTTTAAAAAGTAATAAAAATACCCGAAACTGCCAATACTTTACCCAAATTGCCAAAAGCAATTTTGCCTATAATAAAGCTATTATGAGCTGGAACATTTTGATCACACAGCGCAGACTGATGTGTTTTGCTTGATACAATTGAGTGAATGTGCTGCTCTTGTGGAATTTTCCGTATTGGGTCTGTTAGGAAGAAATACAGTTGACAAAATTTCTTTGAACTTCAGTCGGACTTTCTCAAGTTAGTTTAGCAATTAGCTTTAAATGATACACTGATATACATCATTGATCTTTAAAAGGCAACTAAGTTTTTCTATTAGTAAGAAACATGCATAGTCAGGGAATTTCAAGATGATGCAGATGCAGTCATTTAAACACGGTTGATTCACTATAGTAAGTGACTTTTTAAATTCATGTTTGTAAATGAGTGACTTGGAAGACCTGAATTATTTCTGCAGCTAACCACTATAGAAAGGATAATGCAGATTAGGATGCCTTCCCCTATTTGCCTTGTGTTTCTGCATCTGTTTCTGGAGGAATCTTTTCTGAACTTTTTGTGCTGCAGACTGGTGTGTGTGGTATGTCTCACAGAGCTTGCACAGTGGCTGTGTGACTGTCTGCCAGCTGGAAGAGAAGCCTATGTCACAGGCATGCTAGATGTACCCTGGAAAGCAGGATAAATGGGATGGCACCGAGTTTTCTGGTTCTGCATCAGGTGATGCATCAGACTCTTAGGTGTCTCTCAGGGCCATTCAGCTGTCCTTATTTTACAGTGCGGCTTGCCATTTATATATTATTTCAGCTCTAAGACTCCATCTGAAATTCTAGCATCCCTGACCTCAAAGTAATTTTCTCTATTAACTGGAGTGATATCAAGGTTTTGTCATTTGGTCCACTTACTCTCAAATTTCAAATGGAAAGTGCCACCAGATATTGATTGTTGTAGTATGTCTCTGTTAGCAAACTGGGCTGAAACCACTGACATTTCCTATACTGATAGAATTTGCCTGTAACTAACTTTGGTTCCATAGATTAGTATAGTATTCACTAAATGATCCAGTCTCTCTTCCTAGTCTCTCTTTCCTTTATCTTTCTTTTGATACTTCGTTTTTGATGTCTACTTTTGATCACAGAAATGAATGTTCTAAGCAAGTTTATGCCTTGGTAGTAGTGAATGGCATATTAAGAAACAGTAAGAATTCCTGTGTTTGGTTCAAACAACTAGTTTTGGATGGGTTTTGGTACAATTACAAAAGCTGGTGTCTTGTTTCAAGGTCAGTTTGTTTTTTTTGTGAAGTTCTGTTCAAATAGTTCAAAGATCTTGTAATTTAAGTACAACAAGATAGGTATCTCTAAGAGAAAAAAACTATACATTGTTACATCAATTAACAGGCCTGTTTGAATTCAGCATATTCAGCACTTGATTTAGACTGAACAGGCTCCTCCACAAGATAATACAGAGATTAGGGATCTCCAGAGAACATTTAGAATATTCAGCACACTGAAAATGAGATTTTTTCTTTGGGAGGTTCATACTTTTTCCCTTTAAGCTTAAAAAGGAAGCAATTAAGTTCTAGCTGAGGTGCTGAAAACAAAGCAAGCTCAACTTTGAGCGCCTAAATAAAGCTATAACTTAGGATGTTTGGGACTTTATATATCCTTGTTAATAATGAATTGCATTATCAAGAATTTACCTCTATTGACTGGCTGCACAGTCTGTATTTTCCCATGTAAAAAGATGGTTGTACAAGCAATTATCTGCTTTTAAATGGACTCAGATTTTACTGGCGTTATGGGTTATGAGCAAATTGTGGGAGCCATGAAAGTACCTATAATTTTTTATTTGGTATTATCCATTCGCTCTAGGGATGCATAAAATCTAGTAGTTATTTAAGCCTTTGAAGTAGGAAAAGAGGTGAACATAGACATTGATAATAAATTTCACACTCAAGCAAGAGGAGCTACTTAGTTGAATTTTGCAAGTTACAATTTATTTCTGAAGTGAAAGTTTTGTGATTAAGGTATTAGTATCTGTAAAAATTAGTAGCTCAGAAAGTGAGTGAGTGATGGGTATATGAAATAGATTAGCTGTGTTCTGTCTGGAAAGACACAAATGCGTTCCAGCAGGACAACAAGAGAAATAGAAGTGGAGAGACATAAGGTTGGAAGTGTACTATTAGTCAATAGAAAGCAGGAAAAAATCTTTTTTTAAAAAAATGTATCTTCTATCAAAGCTCTTGCTTTTCTTCTTCTGAGAGAGACTTAATATTTTTAAAGACAAGAGGGTAAAAAAAAGACGAGCCACCTCAAAAGTGGCACTATGCCAATCCTTTTTTAAATACAACAGCGCCTTCTGCTGGTGTGATTTAAATTAATTGGAATCAGATCAGTGTGAAATCAGAATAAGAATGGAGAGACAGTGATTTAGTAGATTTAGATTAAAAGTAAATGCACTATAAATGAAAGCACTATAAACCAGGACAGAAAAAGACTCTGAACTGTTCTGATCTCAGTAATATGGTGTTTAAATTAATTTCAGGTCAATATATTTGAAAGTCAGTGAGGAAAGTACTAATATGAACTGGTTTTGAGATTGGCCAGTGCCATTAAAAAGGTATGCACATATACCTGGACACTGGGTCTTGCTATTTTGTAGTTCCCTGTACTCATTATGACAAAACAAAACCACCTCTTTTCTGTTAGAGATTTGTTTCAGGAAAGAAAATCTGCATGTAAGGCAGCTAGTTTCTACAAGGCCAAAACTACTCTTACTGCATTGCTCCCAGGTTTGTCCTTTTCATAGCCCTTTATTCATAGTTACCCTTAATCCAGTTTTGGATCACATGTGCTATGAACAAAGGCAGTTCACAGGAAGTTCTGACCTGATTTTTTCACTTGAAATACTCTAGCAAAAGAAATAGACTGCTACATAGGAAAACGTATATTTAATTTTAAAACAGGAAGATTTTAGAAGTCTCTGATCATTAGAACGTAATAGATGTATTTGCCTGTATAAATGTAAGTAGCCATGTTTGGTTTGGTATTTATATACGCTGAAGCACCGTTAGTTGAAAGGGATGCTACAGAATTGATTGCATATAAAGGCAGAGCAATAAACCAGCGGCAGTTAAAAGAATGCTGATAGAAAGTAGAAAAAGTCTGAGATTAAAACTGTCTAATATGCTGAACAGATACATGAAGCTATTAGTGTCTTTTTCCCACTGTGCAGTCCTGAAATCAGAGAGGCTTTGATTCTAGGCAATGTCATACGGTACCCATTTATTCACAGACCTCATCCATCATAGTTAGCCTGCCCTGGCAGAAAGGAAGCAAAAAGAAAACTCTGAAAAGAGTTTCAGATCCAGTGGCATATCCATTTTAAAAGAAGGTTAACACATGGGGTGTAATAACCTAGAAGGACATGGTGGAAGCAATGGTCTAACTCAGTGTAATCCTAATGTTTTTATGTGAAATGTTACTTTATTCTATGTCTATTAGTTATCAGCAGCCTTTTCTTTCTGGCACAGGAACTGAAAAACAGACCAGAGAAGTCTCTCTTTTGCAGGAATGTAATTTGTTAACTGACGATTATGTTTACCTTTTGGACAGTCACCACATAGGTCCAGTAACTCCAAATTCAGCACAGATGATGTGATGGATTGGTTCAGTGCTTGATCAATCATCTACTCATATCAATGATAGTTCACAGTCAGGATTTTTCTCTCATTCTTCTGGGTCAACAGAACAACGAAAAATTTCCATAATCATTTTCTTCAGAAAAAAAAAATTTTCCTAGGTATTTAAGTTATCTTCTCTCCTACATTTGTGAATGCTTCAGTTACTGCAAGTAGATTGTGCTATTCATAGAATTGTATTTGCTTCAAAAGTGTGTGTTGTACTGCTTATAGAAATAACAGATTACAAAAAAAGGTATCCATTAAATGAAAAAGGAAAGTATGGTTTGAAGGTCCACTAACATCAGAAGGTACTGGATCTGGATGATAAGGTAATAGATGATCTTCTGACAACTCCTAATAAACATAGGCTGAGAAGCTGGCAGATCAAGAAAAACATAACACACATGCACTCACATTTACCACTTGTACCTTTCCCTCAATCTATTTTAAATGAAGGAACAGAAATCCAGTCCTGTAAACACTTGCTGAAGTTATTCTGGCTGCACTAATCCCATTTCTTAAAAGGATATATGACTGGAAAGTGCATAACTAAAGCTATGTTGACTGTGCCTATTTATGACAACCTGGCTCATTAAATTTGTATATACAATACATTTATGTAGTTAAATATACAGTAGAAGTGTTTTAATGTAGTAGCTCTATATTTTGAGATTTGCTTATACTTTGTAATTTTCTTGTTTGCTATGACTTTTGTTGAGTTTTAGCATTTGCCCAGCCAGTCTCTCTGTCTCTCTCTCTCTCTCTCTTTCTCTGTGAGGTTCACATGTAAACTGATTTAAAGGTTGCATAATGACTGTTTGGCATATCCTACAGGCAAAGGTCCAGAAACCCTTTTTGCTGGCTATAACCTCAATGATAATGAGTGGCACACAGTGCGTGTGGTTCGGCGAGGAAAAAGTTTAAAGTTAATGGTGGATGACCAGCAGGCCATGACAGGTAGTGTGGCATTGTGACTCCGTGTTACTGGGGGGAAATGCAAACTAAAAAATGACAGATTAAAATGCCTTTATCTGAAAACAGCAGATGCTTTTTTCCTTTTCTTGGGTAAGATCCAGAATTGATGTTACGCATCTTGAAATACTGATACTACAAGTGCGTTATTGCACTTGATGTGAATGTTACCTCTAACATTGCTATTGGTATTAATGAAAACCTTCATGCTGACTTAAATGACTGTTTTTATACGGTAATTGGAGAGAAGTAATTTGATGCATCGCTAATGAAATGGCAAGGAAAATGTTTTTGGCAACACACTGAATTTATTCTAAGGTTAAACTCTAAGCCGTTGCTGAAAGGAAGAATTTAATAAACTTTTTAAGGATACTCTATTGTGTTTTAAATCTTGCATCAGTTGTCCTCAATAATTAAAAATTAGGCAACAGGTTTTTCTTACATACTGAAATAGCAGTTGGGATGGGAGAAAAAATATTACATGAATGCTAGCAGATGTTAGACATACTGTCTATGCATGTATTATCAGAAAATTGTAACAGAGAAGACTTCAATATTGTTCTGTTAAGCAACAAACCTGTGTTCTGACCTTCTTTCCTTGCACAATGCAATATGCCTAATTTTATGTTAGCGATTTAGGATTTTACTTTGTTTTTGTGTAGTATTAAATAGTTTTTATCATTGGCTCTAAGCTTTGTTAAATTAGTAACAATTTTCTTAAGCTTTTGAAAGGGAAACACCTTCTTTAGTAGTCCCTTTTCACCTCGCGAGAATACCGAAGACACTCACTGGTAAAAAAATAATCACTATGTATTCATATAGTTGCAAGAACGTATTTTCTAGAATCAGAAATTACCAATAGGTCTTCCAGAAGCAAACCAAAAATCTAGTCTGTATGTCTGATGATGCTTTGGGTCATTCCCCAGGAAAGTAGATGGCCTAAAGCAGCTATTTTCTTTGTGAAAATAAATATATAATATTGCAGGAACTATACTGAAAAATATAAACTTGCTGCTTCAGTTGCAACTCAAATAATGAGACTGCTTTGGGGCTGTTTTGTAGTTAGACAAAACTGTTTAGATATGAAAAAAATAGTGTCTAGAACCAAATGCACATTTCCTGAGCTCCTTATGGCAAATTTCTTATTTACAGATACTACAGGTTACAAAAACACCAAGATATACTGCTTTCACCTTTGGATTCAGTCCCAGCTGCTCAGTGCAGGTGCAGGAAAGTTTGAAATATATGTGAAGGTTTAAGGTGAAAACCAGAAGTTTCTACCATATATAGTCTAGTCAGGTGAAGAAATAAATAATGCAGGACTGTAAAAACTTGTCATGACTCTTCATGCAGATATCTGCAGTCGTTATCAAATATCATGGTCTCAGCAAACAGCTGTTACACTGGAACATATTTCTTAGAGAGGAGGTCGATGCCCCATGCCTGTCGGTGCTTAAGAGGCATTTAGATAATGGTCTTAATAACATACTTCAACTCTTGGTCAGCTGTGGTCAGGCTGTTGGGCTAGGTGATCACTGTAGGTCCCTTCCAACTGATCTATTCTGTTCTATTCTATTCTACCTTTTAAGGCCAGTAGGTCTTTTCAGTTACCTACTGGTCAAGCAGAGCTGTTGCGTGTGGGTTCAACTTTCTGGCACAACACTTGTATTCTTTCCACATGCCAGTAGCTGGCCAGCTGACTCAAAATCCCTCTCAATTCTCCAAGATGGAAGTTGCCTACATTTGCATAATCCACAGATGTTTGAGGTTCTTCATCCAAGGGGGGAAAATCATCCCAGTGTTTTGGAGAGAAAAAGTCTTCTTAAACTCCCTGCAGGAAGCTGTGTGGCCAATCTGTGGCCTTCTCCATCAGTGAGGAGGAAGCTGGCATGACAGAAGGAGATAGAGGGAACTTGCAATTCTCAAAACATCGGAAATCTGCTGTTAGTCCCGGGAATATTAAATATTCTACATGGAAAATCTTTATTGCCATGTAGTGCTGTGAGGGTTTGGGTTTTTTTGCAACATAATGTGTTGCCAAAGCCTTTGTGAACTTCAGTTTTAAATGCACACAATGCAATTTAATGTATAGTAGTTTTGAATTTCTGAAAGGGGTAGTGGAAGAGTTGCCATATCAGACTGGAGTGCTCTTTCTCTGAACTGCTTTAGAACTTCTATTCTGAGATGTCTCAACAATCAGAAATGTGGTTAAAAACATAAAATGGTAGTTATCCGTGTGGAAGTTTATTATAGTCTTATAGGGAACATGAGGGAAAAAACAGACTTCTTGCCAAAAATTCCAGGTTCCCCTCATTACACACTGTATTTTCCTTTTTTGATTCAATTTCCTATATATTAAAAAAAAAAAAAAATCAAATCTAGAATTCTTAAGCTGGAAGGGAAGCCATTAAGTAATTTAGTCTGACTTTCCATGTTTTACAGGTTATGAAATATCACCTATTCATCATAGATTGAGTTTAGTTATCTTTGATGAATGTATAATTTGTGCATGGATAAGTAGTATCTTTCAGAATAACAACTAGCTTTTATTGGAAGTCATACAGGTGTTTTTAAAAATTTTAGTCATCATAAAAGACTCTAAATACTTGTAGCCCTAATGCACTATGTTTTCTGGAAATATATATAAAATAGAAAAGGACTGAAGGAGATCACTACAACTGGAGAATGGAAAGGATACCTAGCTTATGGTTACACAAGATTCACTTGGCTTTTTGTATGAGGTCACATAGCATTGCAACAGGTAATGCATTTTGTGCATCAACGTAACAAGTTAAAAACCTACAAAAACAAAACCCCAAAAACCTAACCTTGTAAGCAGAGTTGCATTCTTTCTCTCTTTCTTCACCGCTGTAGTGGCAAATATTGTGGAGAATTACAAGGTTTTTAAGTCCTGTTAACCTATTTGTACAACTGAAATGTTAAAGGGAGATTTGGGATGTGAGCCCAGATTCTGGAACTCTTTTATGGCTGTGCTTAAGAACAAAATACATTAAGGTAGTGAATGTAAAGAGGATACCGTGCTACAGGCCAAAGCTTAGTGGATTTTTTGCCATGACATTTATGCAATGCCATCTGAAGTTATATAGGGTTAGAATACGATGTCCTCTAAAACACGACCTTCAGCTCTCTGGCTGTGATCCAATATACAGCCCTTGGACTTGCAGAAAGTTACAGATTTGGCATTTTTCAAGACAGCAACCTGACTCATTGCTGTAAGGAAGAAACCCGCCTTTGCTTAATACATCACAGGAAATTGTGTCTTCAGAGCTGATGATTAGAAAAAGAACATCAAGAAGAATGTCCTTGGAGATTCAGGTTGCCTCTTGCAGTGTTCAGCCATCTGACTGCACATCCCAGATGCTGGTGGTGTTCAATGACATCAGGAGAGCTAGTTCTTATATAGAATGCATCCTGGAGCTAAGTAACCTGCTTGTAAATATTTATCATAAATTATTAGAGCAATTTGTGTGTACATGCTCTGAATGGTGTTAAACCCTGCAGACCTATTTTCACTGTAAGTTCATTGATACCTGTGTTTGCAGTGCTGTGGCAACCTGTTTGTGAATTCATTTCCCTGGGCAAAGCCTGTATATCTACATTCATCCTGCCTGTCTCTTTTCCCTGTTCACACACAGGTACACAAGCATTTGCTTATAAAACCTATGATGGCACGAACATTTAAACCTGTCTCATGGCTTTCTACACCATTGCAAAACACATCCAGCCTGGTCAGAGCTCACAGTCTCCTCTTGGAATAGTACGTTCAGGGAAGGACAGAGGGAACTCTGCCTGTCAAGAGCTTTACACTGAAACTGTGGGAACTTGTATTATAGAACAGTTTTATGCCAGTGTTTGTTCCAGCTTGACTAGGTCTGATGTTCAGCTTCTTTGTACTCTCTGAGAGACACAAACCAATGAAGGAACTGGGAAATCTAGGGTATGGTTTGCAAAAGGTACATTAAGTGGTGGAATTGATTAGTAATAAAAAACTCTTTTGCCATATCTCCACAATGTGACTGTGAATCATCCTTGTGATAGTACTGCCCCACTTCTTTAAAGTAAACATGGCAAAAAATCTGGGCTCTGTTAGAAAAGGGAATTCTTCAGTGGGCACAATTTTTATATGCTGAATAAGGTATTTAAAAAACAGCTTAAAAACTTACCTGGCCTGTGCACAATGTACCCTGGCAGGATTTATCCTTTCCTTCAGATTAGCTATACATTCAGCAAATTTCAGGCTTTCTGCTGTGCCAGGAGTCCTTGCATGGTGAAGAAAGACTCAATGGTAGCTGTGAGGCTTGGTCCTGGACACTTTTCTAATGTGAATAGGTACCTGGCTATCTTCAGGATTACAAGACACTGGCATGCACCCTTGTGTATGCCTTCAAGGCTTTCTGCTTCATCTGTTTCTTAAAGGACTCTTCCCCCTTCTCCCTCAGTTTATCCCCATGGCACAAAGGTAGTCGTTTTTAAGAAAGGCTCTGCCCATCCTTGCAGCACAGGGTTTTGCAGCAGGGCAGCAGAGCCAGCTGCAAAATGTGCCTGGGAGAGCTTAAACGGGAATCCTTCCTTACTTTTGCCAAACCATACACTTTTAAGCAAAACACATGGAATAACAACTCCTGAACTGTTATGTCTTTCTTCCATGAAACTCCAGTGTTGTAGTTTAAGCTCTAAGATTTGTCTTTGTGATCTTCATGTTGTGTTAATTAATTGCACTTGCTGATAGTAAAATCACTCATCTGCTGAAGTGTAACAAAAGTGAGGAATTTTTTATTATTATTTTTTTTTTCTTTTGTAGTTTGATGTACTGTGGTATCATGTTTCAGTTTAGAAATCTTGCTGTTGGCCTTTTTCAAACATACTGAACACAGTGCAAAGGCTCCCAGATATTTACCAGTAGTTTGGATGAATGCAGGAGAATCCTTTCTGGAGCCAAGAAGTGACCTTGCCCATTCTGAAAAGTGTGAAATTGGTGCAGATACTTTAACCACATGATGTGCTTTTTGTCCTCCCATTTCAGATGCTAACACGTGTTTTCTTGTTACTGTTTAAAGGTCAAATGGCTGGTGATCACACACGACTGGAATTCCACAATATAGAAACAGGAATAATAACAGAACGGCGCTACCTGTCCTCTGTGCCTTCTAATTTCATTGGGCATCTACAGAGTCTTACATTTAATGGCATGGCATACATTGACTTATGTAAAAATGGAGACATCGATTATTGTGAGCTCAATGCAAGATTTGGGTTCAGGAACATCATAGCAGACCCTGTAACTTTTAAAACCAAAGCAAGTTATGTTGCATTGGCCACGCTACAAGCATATACATCTATGCACCTTTTTTTTCAGTTCAAAACAACCTCCCTGGATGGATTGATACTTTTTAACAGTGGTGATGGAAATGATTTCATTGTGGTTGAGTTAGTAAAAGGGTATGTATGGATTAGCATAATGACAAAACAAGTCTATTAAAAATGTATATGCAGGAGAAATAAAGGGGAAAGTTTAGGATACAAATCTTTATCTGACTGTGCATATACAATTGATGAATGTTTCTTCATGTTAAAATTCACATGCTTTATTGCAACTCTCTTTCAGATGAAGCTAGATGCCTGAGAAAGTATGAAAGTAAATATGTATATACACATGTAACTTCTCTAGTGTTTAGCACAAAGAAGTACTAGTTTGTAGCCTTCCTCTTCTCTCTCTGTTTGCATGTGTTTGCACTTGGAGTGCTTGTTAACTTTGCACAAATTTGGGACTGCATCTCAGCCCATCTAAATGAATGGCAATGACTCTGAATTAAGGTTGCTTCCCCATTGGGCATTCACTGTTGTCTTCCAGTTTTACCAGCACTTCTGAGGAATACAAGGAAATAGGAAATATTAGACATTGCTTAGTGCCCCCTTGCTATGTAAAGAAAAAGGAAACTTTTACAATTTTTTTTCTCTTTTCCCAGGTATTTACACTATGTGTTTGACTTGGGAAATGGTGCAAATCTCATCAAAGGAAGTTCTAATAAACCTCTGAATGACAACCAGTGGCATAATGTGATGATATCAAGGGATACCAACAATCTCCACACTGTAAAGATTGACACTAAAATCACAACACAGAGCACAGCAGGAGCCAGAAATTTAGATCTCAAAAGTAAGTAGAGTAATTTCTGAGTAACTTCCAGTGAGGATCATTACAGAATGATAATCTGAATATTTTGTGTATGTAAAGTATAGTTTACTTTTATAATACCTTATGAAATATTTTATTTGGTAATAATTTATATGATCACAAGAGATGGCATCTTCTTTATGTTAGCCTGGCAATGTCAGTTTATTAGTAGTTCTGCACAGTTAAGTGCGACTTAAGATGTGTGAGAATGTCACAGGAAGAAAAGTAGGAAATTAAAAAAATACAGAAAGGCCCATATATACCAAAAGATAATTGGTGGGCTGAAGGGACTCTAAAATATCTGTTTAAAAAAGGTTGATTTTTACATGAACATAAGTTCTCTAAGTGGCATGCAGAAACTGAAGCCGAAACTTTAAAGTATGGCTACAAATGCTTTGCAGAACTGACAATCTGTATGTCAGAGAACAGGGGAACATTTTGACTTGTCCTTTACTGTTCAGTATTCCACATAAAACCTACCATTTCTTGGGAAAATAAATGCAATGCAGTATTTTGATGTCATAAAATATCTTGTAAGTAAAGTGATCTTATGCAGCAATCCTCTAGTGAATCAGTTATAAAGTTGCCAGGTGTATTGAACCATAAACATACTCACCTAAACATGTAAAGTAATTTCAATTGTAGTGTGGGATAAACATTGTTTTATAGGTCTAAACCTACACTTTATAGGTCCACCTAGATTAAGATCTGTTTTTATAAACCAAACTGGTAGAGATTTTAAAATAAGTAATAGTAAACAATTGTAAGGATGGGCTTCTGAAAAGCTAATTTACGTAAGAGGAAAATTACTTTTTGAGAGGTGTATAAAGGTACTTTTAAAATACTGTTTACCTAATCAGACATAAGAAAACTTGTTCTCATCATGTGAAAAAAATATTGTGCATTTTAACATTCTTAGTAAAAGCTCTTGTTCCGAAACCAAACGTTTCATAACAGTCAAAGAAAATTTAATATTTCAAAAGCCAGGATGTTCAAAGTAGATATTAATATTCTATCAAGAGTGTGTTCCTTGCTGGATTTTCTTTTAACTACCTTTGAGTCACAAATAATGAGCTGACCTTAGTAATTAATCTGGATTTTGTGATATTTTACATGTTTGCTTCACTTGAAAGTGCTATTAAGATTGTAAGAAAGATTGTGAAAACTGTATCTTGAGATATCATAATCTTCAATAATAGATTCTTTATCAGACTTTCTTGGTTTATAAATTAAAGCTTTTTGGATAGCTCATGCTTTATTCTCAAAATTCTATTTGAAATTTATGCTGTGTTATTTTTCATTTTTGCATTATGTAAATATGGTTAATGTTTATTAAGACGATGTAATATTTCAACGTTATTTTTACTGCTGCAGAGAAAGCATCCACCTTATTCTTTCATATTTTTGCAATAAGTACTATATCTATGTATATGCGTATGTATATTAAGTATTTAATCTGGATTTTTTCCCCCAGATTAATATAGATTAATTAGATATGAGTAGGGAAGATAATCCTGTTAAAAAATGATAAATAAATTAATGCAGTCTTTGTATTCTACATCTCTTTTAAACTCAGTGTGGTGTTTTGTTACGTTGCTTTATTTAAGAAAAAAGTTTGAATGATGTGCTTGCTAAAGGCACTAGAGGGCACTGCTATTTCATTAAATGCATTGCTTAGTGCATTCGAAGAGAAAGCTCATCAGCGGGTATAACCCATAAAATCCAACATTCCTTTGTTTTCTTCACTTTGAAAATTCTACTTTTGTTTTATCCTTTTGAAGTAAAACTGTATCCGTAGCTGTTGCATTTCCTAACCTTGAATTGGAAAAAGAAAACAAAACACAACCCTGAAGAGCATGAAAAATCATACTGAGATTTGAAGTGAGGAAGGTGAATTGTATTAAATGCCTATTTTCTGTAACTCACCACCCAGGAGATGTGACTAGTAAAAGAATAACAAATGTGACATATTCAGTACAGTAATATATACTAAGCATCTTTCTTGAACTGGTCTACCGTATCTCAACCTCTGTCTTCCCATAGTACTATGTTTACTTTTATTTTTTTAATGTATTCTGTTACATTTTGCTTGGTCAGCTTCCCTTACACATATATCATGGGATTTTTTTTATATAATTTTTGAAGGAATTCAAGCTGATATACTTTAGCCAGCAGCCTAAAAAGAAGGAAAAAATGCCTTTCGTTATTGTTTTTTCTTCCTTTCTATTCAGTAGAAATGCGTTCCTGTAGCTTGTTCTCTTCTATTTTATATCAGCATTTCTTAAGATGGCACATCTCTGTGTGCTATAAACACTCCATACACTTTAGTGATAGGAGCATCTATGGTTAATTCATTGTCTTGTATTATTTTAGCCCTAGTACCACAGCAAATTCAAAATTATACTTCTTGCTAGTGATATCAACAATTTTGTTTAACCAGAGTTAACATTAAGTGAAATATAAATGTGTACAGATGATATAAAACCTTCAACCTTTCTGAGTTCCTCCGGCAGAGGTACCAGATTTCAGGTACTGAAGTCTAAGCTAATCCTGGAAAGATAAATCACATATATGCTGTCTTTTCCAAATACATAATGAATTCAGTACTAAGATCTGAAATAGATTGTCTTGTAGAGCCTGCACAACATGCTGGTTGTCTGGGAAAGCAGACAATTACCATAAAAGTATAGGAGAGAATTGCTACTATAGGTTTCCTTTTGGGTGTAGGATTTGGCTATGTATCATTAAAGGTTCATTATTACAGACGTGGGTTTGCTGAACAATTTCTGGTACAATTTCAGTGGATTGGAGTAGGTACCTGTGGAAAGACTTGTATTAAATTCTATGGCTTAATTATTGCTGTAATTAGATGGGTAAATTATAAACTGTAGACAAATTAATGAGTGAAAATAGTTCTGTGTTTAGATTCCAAGAACTGTTCTGTTCTTCCTAGCAGAGAAAATTAGCAAAGTGTACTTGGGTGTAGTTCTAGCTGAAAAGCTGTGAAGATAAATGAGTCTTAAGAGTAAAGGCAATGCAGCTCAAGCCTGCCAACAGTCAGTTAAACAGCAAATTTTCTTTCATGTATTTCATGAACAGGTTCCCTGTCCTCCTTTAAGCAGAACTCAGATGTTTAGCACAGCTACAATTCAAGGCCTTTGCAGCCTGAAATAGTTGGGTGGAAGGGAGTTCTTACTTGCTATACATGGTGCTGCCCTCTTATGGTCTGAGGGGTCTGAGTAGCCTTGAAGGGGTACAAAAATGCAAGTGGAAATGTAACTTGAGTGTGCTCTTGTTCCTCACTGTTGCCAAAGAAAAGGCATCTCTTTTGCTCAGACCGTAGGTATTATGACATTTGTAACATCTCTTACCTCTCCACGTTTTCTTCTTATGATGTGAGAAATTTGAGTTCTGTCAGAATTTTTTGTCTATAAATGTTTCAAGACACATGATTTGCTTTTGAGGAGGAGGAACATCCTCAAGCATGACTGTGTATCCACTTACCTACGAGGGTTTAATCTTCCTTTTTCTTTTTCTCTCACATATAGGCACTCTTTTAATCCACAGTTTTTACCCACTTCCTTTAAACAGCAAACATATAAAACCTTACAAAAAATCACTCAGAATTCTCTTAGAGCATCTGTCAGAAATGTAAACTATTTTAGCATTTTAATAGTTTATAAATTGAAAGGAAAAGTTGAAGTATCATACTCTTACACAATGAAAAGCTAAGGACTGTTGCTGTTATTTTAGGTTTAACAATGAATAGTTACAATAGTTTCTAGGAGCTAATAGTTTCAGTACTTCAGTATTCCATCCTATTCCAAACTTTTCTAGCTATTGTGAATCCTTCAGGATGAAGTGCAGTGATCCTAATTTTGATATTGGGCTAACTATATTTTGTTTTTAAAAGGAAATTACCATCACAAGAAAAAAAAAAATCCTAGCCAGCTCAACATTTATGTTTTTTTTTTTAATTATTGTTTTAATTTTTTTAAAAAATAATTATACCCATGCATAATATCATACCTTTTTAAGGCCTTCTTTTTTGAACTTAGTTCCATACTTTCAACTTGTCTCACCCGTATCCTATTCCACATGGCCTTCCTGAACATCAGTTTTAGAGTCTATTTTAAGTCATACGTTATGTCTGTGCTGTTATATCACTGCATCCTCAAAAAATGCTTTTCATATTAGAATACATCAGAATCAAGTTCCTTAGCTTTAAAAAAACCCGACTAGACCTCTTGTGGTCTGTTTTATTTCTGTAGCTCTTAACTAGCCTCTGGCTCCATCTATTCCTTTGTGAGATAGGGTTGCTGTTGCTATATATACGTGCTTTTTCTTTTGTCATTTTCTCCAATGGTGTGAAAACAGCCTAGTATAAAGCATCTGAAAGAGAAGTAATTCTTAATTTCTGGCATCACCTCAGTGGTTTTAAAAATGATCTGAATATACTTCTTCCATGTACATAAAGACTCATTTGGCAATTAATTCATCCTTTTAAATCTTTAACGCAATTAACTAAATTATCAGTAGATTTACTAGCCTGGCATATTCATTGATGATTCATAATAGTCACTTAATCTATTGATACTTCATTTGCCTGTCGAACTAGGTTATTCATGCTATGCAAAACTGAGCTACATTAGTCTTGATCATAAAGATTTCTTGTTACAGCAATAAAAATTGAAATTGTTTCAATTTGATATAATATTTGCCCCTGTTGTTTTATACTGAGCCCATTATTATTGTTGCTGCACTATATGTTCTTCTCTATATTATAAGTTCTCTGTCAATGGCAGTGATCCTTCTGTTACTAACAAAGATTTAAGAAGAACTGAAAACATATTTTATATAAGAATGTAAGACTACAAATGAGTGGGTATTAATGCTTAATTTTCTCAAATAAACACGCATGAGCTAATTGTAATGATCTTGCCAGTGGGCTGTGAACTTTTCATGCAGAAATAATGTTCTGC